ATCATCATAAATGCGTGCTGGTTGCCAATTGCCTGAATTTTGGTCATGTGACCCTGGGGATGCTGTGACAGTCATAAGTGTGGTTGTGAGTCACATTTTTCGGTGCTGCTGTGTCTAAATGAATGGTTGTAAGTTGAGGAGTACCAGCAGTTGCCCAGTCTCAAGAAAATATGTGTTTGAATTAAACAGGCAACTGGACTTCCTTGTTTTTCTTTGAAGATGTTTCGCTTCTCATCCAAGAAGCTTCTTCAGCTCTGACCAGATAGTGGGGAATGGAAGGATTTATACTCCTTGCAGACAGCTGGCCATTTTAGATGCAAGGAATATAAGTCTTTCCATTCCCTGCCATCCAGTCAGAGCTGAAGAAGCTTCTTGGATGAGAAACGAAACTTCTTCGAAGAAAAAACAAAGTCCAGTTGCCTCCTGAAAAAAGCACCTTTGGGACAACCATGACCTGGATGACTGAGACATTTGAATTAAAGAGGTACCGAGAAGTTATAATAGCATTTTATTGACATCTTAATTTCACCCTGTTATTTCCTAGAATTGCACAGCTACCCTGAGAATCAGAAAAAGATGTAGCTTCTTGAAGGACCCATTGCCAGATGTGGCATGTGCATTTTAATCAGTGAAGTTTAACAAACAGTACTACATGCATGATAAATTCAGTAAGAAACTATAGATACTTAGTGATTAAAATAGACATAAAAGTGGGAGGAAGGAAAAAATGAGGTCCATGTGCATAATCATGTATCAATATACAATCAGTTCAACCCTTAAACTTATTATTAAATTTGGTCTATAAAAACACATTGTTCAATATTGGCACATTGATTAGAAGGTAAAAACATGTTCTTTTACTAGATTAATATTAGGCCATCAGAGGGGAATACAAATATTCCAGTTCTATCATTATCCAAGGTAGCCGCATGTTCATGATTTATAGTTTTGCCTTGAATCATTCTGCTATCAATAGACAATTGATGCCTGACTTTGTCTCTTCTCTTTAATGTTTTTTATAGGAAAATATTTTGATGCACAGATGGCGGTACCCATCCTTATCCCTTCATGGAATAGAAGGGGCTTTCTCTGGATCTGGTTGTAAAACTGTGATACCACGAAAAGTGATTGGCAAATTTTCAATCCGACTAGTGCCAAACATGACTCCAGAAGTTGTGACTAAGCTGGTATGTGTCAAGGAAAATGGATAAGGAAACTCAAATCACAATTCAGAACATTGCGTGTTAACTACATCAGCAGAAGCCAGGATTAGGGCTATGCTAGAAATTCCTTCATTAGGGAGGCAGACTGCGTTTTGGGTTTTTTCCCAATTTAGTTGCAGCTTTGCACACACTTTTTGATGAATGCTGTGTAGCATCCATGATTTGTAAAGTTATCTTAAGCACTAAACCAAAGCCCACATGTGAGAGAAGTAGGCAGAATTGAAAAAGGTCCCATCTCAGCTTGTGATACAAAAATCCCAACTTGGACATTTCCTGCCCCATAAACAGTTTTTGATTTTTAAATCTTTTCCCATCCACAATTACTGCCTTTGGCTGCAAACTGCTGTGAGTCTGCAGTTAGTTTCAGTGCCATTTAGCATGTGCCCTGATACATGCAGTAGTGTAAGGCAAGTAAAATATTGGTATGGCTGTAATTCAGACTTTGCCCATATGCAAAAAAGGATGGAAGTACATGATTGTGCATGAAACAGCTTATTTATTCAGATGTAGGGAATTGATTTGTACTGTAGCCTTAAACAGAGTTTCTGCATAATTGACCAACAATTTTGTTCTAGTTGTTTTAAGTAACCAGTTTTTAATCATTATTAAAGGTTGAAGATTACCTATCTAAAAAGTTTGCTGAGTTGCACAGCCCTAACAAATTCAGCATAACGCTGGGCCATGGTGGAAAACCTTGGGTGTCAGATTTCAATCATCCCCACTATATGGCTGGCAGAAAAGCCATGAAAACAGGTCAGTACATCTTTCATTGTTTCTGTCAATATCTTAATCAGAATATGATCTAAGATACCTTTTGTGTTTCACCTGTGTCATGATAAAAATGTAGATACTTTACAGTGGCAAAAAACGGTCAGTTTTGATGAAAATCAAGCTGGAAAGTGATCCTTGAAAAAGATAACAGATTATTGGTATTGTGTTACTGCAATGCCAACCAGCTGGAAGAAAATAAAGGGTTAGCAGGTACACAAGTGAAAATGTTTTTTCCCCAACCTAGATATCAGGATGTACAAATTCTGTTAGTCCTAGGCCACAGGGGTGGGGAACCTTGGCTCTTTTATGACTTGTGGCTTATGACTTGTGCTGGCTCAGGAATTCTGGGAGTTGAAGTCCACAAGTCATTAAAAAAAGCCAAGGTTCCCCACCCCTGTGACCTAGAAGCACAGCCGAATCTATTTTGGGTTGTGAGAGTGAAAGCCCAAAAGATCTGGAAACAACCAAGTATGATAGCGGGGGGGGGGGGTTGGTAAAGAAAATGAAGATTGCTCTTAACCTTCTCCTTTATTTTTCCTAGTCTTTGGTGTGGAACCAGACCTGACTCGAGAAGGAGGGAGCATTCCTGTCACACTGACCTTTCAAGAAGCAACAGGCAAGAATGTGATGCTGCTTCCTGTTGGGTCTGCTGATGACGGAGCCCATTCTCAGAATGAGAAACTCAACAGGTAAAGCATATGTATTGTCTGTCATTATGCAAAGTTGGAGCTCTAGATTTAGCTCATAGGCTGGATGGAGGTTTTCCACTTGTATTCTAGATTTTGCTGGGATTGCTTGGGTTTGTTGTTGTTGTTGTTGTTTGGCCCACATTTAATACCAGGTGTTTTCTTTCCAGGTACAACTATATTCAGGGAGTGAAGCTTCTGGGTGCTTACCTTTATGAAGTTTCCAAATTGAAGAACTGAATCCGAATCGTTTTTGCAAATTGTGCTTTGGAATCTGAAAATTCATCAAAGCATATTACTGCAATCTTGAAAAGTGCACTATTTTGTTCCCTTTTTGCCTAATCTAAATAATGCCAATACACCTGGTGGAATATTTCGAAACTCAGTATAGAGCACTTTATACAAACATGATAGTTGCTGCTGATTTTCTTCCTTTTTCAAAAATCATGTGCTCTATTCAAGGCATTATTCCAATACAGCAACTCTCCAATTTACTTGCCTTCCCTTCCAAACAAAGAAGGGTGTGAGTGGAATCTGCAAAACTTCTAATGATGATGTAATCTAAGCTAAGAAAGCAGCAGTAAATGATCAGTAATGCCTCACATTGACTTTCCCCCAAAACAGAATCTGAGCCCAATTCTTTGATCTCCGTGGAAGAAAATAATAACTGTCTTACTTGAATTTGCAAAAACAACAAGCCCTTCTAAAAGGATCCAACAGGAATGGAAAGATAGACATGGGTGGTAAAAGAGCAAAGAGGGGCCCCTTTCTCCCTGTGGGACTTGTAGTTGCTTATTTGCAGATTTTTCCAGTCTGTGCAGACATCTCGTGATAATAACAAATTGGTATTTTTCTACAACATTCTTTGTACTCCATGTGGAAAGGCTGCTAAATAAATTCAACATTGGTCTATCAATTCTGGTATCATTTATTGCTTAGACATTGAACGTTTAAAGTATTGGTGATTTCCAGCTTTAAGAAAGCAGGAGGAAATAGTCTCAATTTCCACAAGAAATCAAGTCTCCAAAACATCATGGAGTTGGACTAGAACCTTGGTAAATTCAAGATGTATGTACCAACTCCCAGATTCCCCCCAGCCAGCAAGACTGACTGGGGATACTGAGAGTTGAAGTCCACACATCTTCATTGGACTATAGCATGCCTCACAATTACAGGCTGCCCTCTCCTTTTTGATATGGTTGAAGAGTGATAGCGTTTTTTTCAGCTCCCCCTACAATTAATTGCAGTCAACTCCAGTTATCTCATAAGTCATAATTTGAAATTACTTTAAATTCCATGATGGAAGATCATTTAAGCCACCTTATACAGACAGCATTCACATGTGCTAAAAGCCATGGGTTATTGAACAAGCCATAGAATTTTGGTTAGCACAGAACCATAAAACACAGTTCTAAAACTATAGTGACTTTGTTTATCCAACATATTGAACAGGAACCAAGGAAAACATATTTTAAAGCCAGCTTTATTCATCTACTTTAAAAATCTAAAATGACAAAGTATGGTGTAACTTTTTCCCACAGGGATTTTAAGTCTTCCATTCTTCAGTGTAAAATCAAATCTATTATGATCATAGACCAGCTTAAAGAAAGTGGGTTACAGTAATTAAAAAAGAATAAAGGATAAATTAAACATCTAACAAATTTTGAAAAACTAGAAGATATAAAAGATATATGAATAAAAAAACAAAGTATATATAAAATAAGGTGTAGGAGCATTAGATGGCTGTAGGGAAGCATAAAAAGTTGTTATATGAAAGATATATCAAGTTCCAGAGAATTAATACGTTGAACTAGGTCAGTAATGGTGAACGTTTTGGGCTCAGGATTGAAAATAGCTAACTTGACTGCTGGTGTGTCACCACCTCTCCTGGAATAAACAGAAGACAATTCTTCATATATATTTTAAAAAATTCCAGTTCAATTGTGTGATGCTATGTCAAATAATTACATAAATGAAATATGAGTAAAACAAACTCATTTTTTGGAGGCTCCAGAGGCTGTACAAGAAGACGACTGTCTCACACAACTTCTGTACAAGAAGAGCACACACCATTCTCATACAGCCTCCAAAAATCATGCTAGAATGGGGGCTTTTGAGAATAATTGTTGGGAATAAATGCTGATGTGTCACCCAAAACATCATAGCATGTCACTTTTGACGTATCAGGCTCACCATCACTGAACAAGGTGCTCATTAAATCTACAGTACGTTATAGCAGGGTTGGTATCTGAAAGTAGCAAGGAGGTATAGAATTGTTCTGAGTATTTATGCTCAGTAATAATGGTGAGATGAGGCTAGTATGACTGTTTCTGCAGTACAGGCACTAGAGAAGCATATGCTGTGTTGTTTCTGTGTGTCCAGAGTCTCTGGGGCATTGGGTCTTGGGGTAAGGAATCTTCCTATATCGGTCTTCAAGGACAGCTGAAGGGTCAGTATCTATCTCAGTTATTTCATAAGTTTTCATAATAGTTATGAGCAGGCCAACGAAAACATTTTTGAATGCTAGGTTGCTATTTTCCCTGGTTTCCATCCACGTACAATTATAATTACATAAAACAAGCAATTAAGGAATTTCAAAGCGGTGGCCAGATGGACAATCAAAGGGTCATTATTTATTTGGAGGCTTGAATCACAGCATTTGGAATAATGAACCTTTGTCCTTAATCCTGCTGTCCCATCATATTAAAAACACAAAGATACAGACGGGGTGGGGGGTGGGGGGGTGGAGAATGTTGCTTTTATAAAAAGAGCTGCAAACTACAAAAAGGAGCTTGAACTAACAGTGCTTTCTGAGTTCGTTGGGAAAAGAAGAAACCTTATTTGCTGTCAGAATTTTTGTCATGGTAAGCCTTCTTCAAATTTTAAATGTGTCTAGTGGTTGTAATCATACTGCAAAATGTAGAGATGTACACCTTCAAATGATTTCAGATGGACTAGCTGCTTTGATCAGAAGGCGTTTAGTAGCACAGTTTCAAACTAACAGACTTTATTAAAAGTTATTGTGAACTACAGCTCACTTCTGATTTTTGGCTAATGTAGCCCAATACATCTGTCCTATAAGTGTCTACTTAGTTCAGAATAGCTATCATTTTGGAAATTTGTACCAATTTTATTCTATGCGCTTAATGCAGATGATCAATGCCAAAAGTGCAGACAGGATCATGTTAAATTGTAATATGTTATCTTGTAATATGGCATATATTATAATAGCTTGTGTAGGTATCCAATGTGATTTGCCAGTTTATTGTTTCGGTTTGCCAGTTTGTTAGATCAGGGGTGTCAAACTGGCGGGCTGCGGGCCAGATGCATCACGTGCAGCCTGTGCCCACCTCAGCTCCGCAAAGGCAAAAAAGTCACGATATGTCATGTGACGCGATCAAGTTTGACGCCATGATATAAATGATTCCTATCACTGTAGTTTATTAAATCACAATGGGTCAATTTGCCTTTGTACACATCTAATTAGAAATAGTACTGCTTTACCATGTCTTCTCTGCTTTATCTATATCTGAAGAGAGAAGCAAATCCATCTATACAACTTTATAAGATAAGACAAATTGACAAGCTACCTGAATCCTTTGGTAGAGATTGTAATGTTTAAATGCTGAGGTAAACCAAATTCAGCTTTCCACGTTTTCAGCAAGAAAGGGCACCTGTTCTCCAGCATTCTTTTCATCTAATTGGGAAATTTCATTTTCTAGTCTCATTTTGAGACATTGTTAGGGAATTACAAAGGCCATATGCTCTGCAACCCATTAGTCGGATATATTTGACCCATGTCATTACAGCATTACAGCACTTAATTCATTGCTTCCCAATGTACTTTGGGCTTTTTACTTAGCATAACATGTACTAGGACAGTGAAAGATCATGGTTTGTTTTAGAGCAGGAAACCACGGCAACTTTGGCAGCGTGATAAGTAAATGGGGCATAGTTTGTTAATAGATTTCTTAGCTTATTCCTGATTTGCCTTTTGTCAATTCAGAGATATATAAGCTGGGGGGGGGAGAAAACAACCATTATTTTACTTATTGGCATGGCTGTTTTTCAGATGTGTTCAATCAGGCATTATGAAAACTGTTTGCTTGGTATAATATATATATACACACACACATACACGTATATACACGTAGCCATATTACAATATGGTTTAAATGCTAACTTGCAATGCTTGGGAGATTTTGCTCAGGTATGCTTGTGAAGATGTGACTGCAGTTGATGTTACTCATGGAATCTAACATGCCACAGCTTTGAGGAGTCTTGTGCACAAGAATCACTAATTATCCAGTACTCATGGGAAAAGTTTTCTTTTAGAATACTTTTTTATTTAATTCTTAAACAAAAATGAAGCTCCTGTTCTGGTGGGAGCAAGTGGAAGCTGAATGCTGTTTTGAATGCTGGTATTAAGTTCACCCTAAACTGGGATATCAAAACCCAAGATATAAAGCATGACATGAATAAAATGAACACAATAGAGCTTGCAACAGAGTCACAGTGCCAAGAGCTACAGGACTGCTGATATCAAAAGAGGGCAAAGAGAATTATTGATCCCTAGGAGAGCAGGTCATTACCACACTCAGCAAAATACTCACTTTCCTGATTAGCTTTATAGCCTTTTACTGAAGTTTATTACTATAAAGGGAAAAATAGGTACTTTATCCAGACAGCAATGGAGAAGTATACCTTTCCCTCTCCATATCAAATAGTCAAATGAGTTCTGATCCTTAGAATGCAGATAAACCTCAGGATGCAAGGGCAATCCTACTTCTCTCCATGGACCTGTCTTGCAGGGGTGTTGTTTTACAGTTTATCAAATCATTGGGTAAGCAACCACGATGCTAAAAGCTATATCATACTTTTTGTACAGTAACTGGTGGCAAAGAATCTCTTGCATCCAGCTAAATTCTGGCTAACTACCCTTGCATGCCTGAGCAACAATGCAAAAATAGTCTGCCATGAAAGTTTCCTGATGGTCTCGCATCCAACTATCAACCAGATCTGACTGCATAGCTTAGTTTGAGATTAAAGATATAGGTTTCCTGTCAGTTCTGTCTGACTCTAGGGCACAGCGCGCATCTCTGTTTCTTGGCTGAGGGAGCCAGCATTGTCCGAAGACAATTTCCGTAGTCATGTAGCCAGCACAGCTATATGCCAACGGCACACGGAATGCTCTTATCTTCCCACCAAAGTGGTACCTATTAATCTATTTGATTTGCATGCTTTCAAACTGCTAGGTGGGTAGGAGCTGGGGCAAGTAACAGGAGCTCACCCCATTGCGCAGAGCTCAGGTCTCAAACCTGGACTGTCAGACCTCCAGCTAACAAGCTCAGCATCTTCAACCACTGAGCCATCATGCTCCCCAGTTTGAGATTAGCCAGGGTTGAATACATGCTTCCACTTGCTATGCCAGTAAATTTTAATGCATTTCATGAAAAGATCATTTCCTTCCCTCAAATATAAGCTTCAGACCAGGGTGAAGCTAGGTCAGGGTTATGGAGCCAAAATGTGAGAATTCCACTTCCAAACAACTTATCAAAAAAGTAATGGAAGCAGCAACAATTCCTGGGCCTCAATGGGTTTGCTGGAATCTTACAGCACTAATATGGTGGTCATGTCATAAATAGTTAAAACAGTGAAGAGAGATGAATACAATCACAGATATCCATTCTATTCTTGAAGTATATTTCTTTTTCTCTAGCAGAATAACGTCAAGTAATGTATGTGTTGTGTAGCAATCAAGAACAACCAGTTCTTTTAGGGGACTCCTTGATCTGGCTATATCTCTGCTTTCAGAATATCAGCAAGTGGATAGAGTTTGCTGGCACTTTCATAGGAGATTTTGTACAAGTGAGATGGTTAGACTGCTAAATGCAGTCCTCACAAATTACTATAAAACGAGAGATGTGAACCCCATGAATTGGAGTTTTGTTTACCTGCAGGGGGGGAAATCACTCTGGGAAGCTTCTCACACTATGAAATAGGCAGATTTTTCCAAAGCAGAGAGAACTCGGTTCACCCATTATCCTTAGCTATGGTTTCCCTCGAATTGCCCCGTGGAATAAACTACGATCGGCTTGGTTCGCAATAAGACAAAATTAAACAAAGCGCACCCGAATCCTAGTCTAACGGCAAAGCCAGGAGGAAACGCTGGCTTTTTATTCTCGGGGATTCTCCTCATCATTTAGTGAACGGTACAGTCGGGCTCTCCAGAGGTGTTGGGGCAAAATCTCTCCCGACTGCCGGCCAGCGTGTCCAAAGGTCCCGGGACAATGCAGACGGGACGGAGGCGCCCTGGGAAATCGGCCTCGGGGAAGCGCTAGACAAACGCATGGAGACCGCCAAAGGCGCTCGCTTTTAAGTTCCGCGGAGCAGGCGGCGGAGGCCGCCTCGCTCCTCCCTGTCCGCGCCTTGCACCGACTACTCCTCCCCTCCGCCTACCGCCGCGGAAGGCTCATAAAGTCAGGCTCCGGCGGTCCAGCTGAAATTGCTCAGCCGGAGACCAGGAGCCAATCGCAGGCGGGCGAGTCAGCGAGCCAGCGCGGAGCCGCAGCGGCGGCTGACAGCTGCTCTTAGGCGTCGAGGGAGGGTGGAGTGGCCGCCGAGGATTGCCCTCTTGAGGAGAGACCCTCGTGAGTATTTAGCTCCTCCCTCCGAGTATCTCTCTGAGCGGCTTCCTTCGCCTTCTTCCTTGGACATCCCGTTGAGAAATGTCAGCATGAAGGAGAGACCAGGAGAGGGCTGGAAGGTCGCCCACCCGTCAGCCCCGTCGCTCGCTCTCCAGTTTGGCAGCCAAAGTCCCCCCCCCCTTGGCCCCACCCCACCCTTTCTCTCCATTCCTCCATTTCGCCCTGGCGATGCCATCTCAAGGGGAGAGCCAGTAGAGATGGGCCAGAATGAGCCTCTCTTGGCCTGGCCCCAGACCGCCAGAGTGCTGGACCACCATTTCCATCATCTTTAGCTGGCACCCTAGCTGAGCTGATGGAAAGTGGGCTCTGGTTTCTGCCAGGGAGGTCCAGGTTTGAGGGTGGTTGTGTGGAAGCAGCTCCGTGGCCTGTGAGTATTTTTGGGGGGCCAATCTATGTCTGGAGCAGCCATCCATTCCTGTAATGCTTCAATGACTGGATTAAATTGGCTTTCTGCAAACCTGGCTTTGTAGCCTTGCGTCGGGGGACACAGGCCCACACGGCCATGGGGCTGGTTGGTCCCATAAGACCCCTCCTCGTCCGCCTGTATTAACAACTCCAAATCTTCCCATCGTGGAACTTTCCATTTTTTGTAATTTTATAATGTTTTACATTTTAAAAAAAGAATCCTAAATTATTTAGTTTTAATCTTATATTAAATTGTATACCACCCAGGAGCCCCTCTACAAGGGAGATGTGTGGTTAAGAAGTTTGATAAATAACATAACACAACATAACATAACATAATATAACATAAGCCATAATTAAAGAAATGGAACCTGTGAACTGGGCTTATCATTTAAGGAAAGCAAATGAGGGCCAACTTACTTAATCCCTACAAACATAGTATTGTCATTTACTATTAACATTAGCAACCAATAATTGCCAGATAAATAATTTTTAAATAATTATATTGTATATATAAAACATATCATTATGAAAACATATAAATAGCAATAGCACTTAGACTTATATACTGCTTCAAATAAAACATATAGATAAAACAAATACAACTGCATAATAAAAATACATTTTTTAAAAAAACAAGAATTAAAAAGCGCAGAAAAGGAAAAAAATAGAAAAAGAAACTTCTCCCCTTCATCCCCAGCAAGTATAATCAACATGAACAACTTATCACTATCTCTTAAACATCCAACCAAGCACCTCTTTATTCCATGCCTCCCCCACTCTCTATAAGCCTGTCTCTAAAATCTCATAGCTCCATATTGTGGGAACAATCCAGAGAAAAGAAACATTTTTGGGAATATTAAAAAGGTAGAATATATTTCCCCAAAGGAATAATGGAGAAATTCTTTAAAAAGGCAGAAACTTCTCCCTCCCCCCAGCCAGACAACTCAGCAGAAACCAGCTTTTAGAAATGCAGATGTAATAATCCATTCAGGAAGGTTAGAGCCCTCCAGCTAGAAGTTGAAGAGCTCAGGAAGACAAAGACCCTTAAAATCTAACTCAAACTCTAAAATAGGACATAATAGGATTAACCCACCACCATCAGAATATCAGAAAGGCACATTCAGACTCAGGTCAAAGTTCATGACACAGGAACAACTCCAAACAAAAGCCCAACAAGGTATAAAAACCTACCCCTTACTACATGTGCTCTCACTTTTCTTCCAGAGCCATCTTTCTGTCTGGCTCTCCTCTTCAATAAACTACAACCTTCTTTCTAAAGCAGTCGCCATGTTGTTTACTCCCAGCTTGGACTGGACCCTGATGAAGACTTTTCCTTCAACAATATTAAATAGCAAAAGTCCATTAAGATGATCAAAAATAGCACAAATATTGCAAATTGTATATACTACAGCCAGTGGTGGGATTCAAATATATGAACAACCGGTTCTCTGTGTGGATGCCGCTTCCAGTAATCCATTCTGGGCCTGGGCAACAAAAAATTAGCTACCGGTTCTGCCGAAGTGGTTGAACCGGCTGAATCCCACCACTGACTACAGCCAATTTAATCCTTCCTGTTTCCTTTTTTCAAATAAAGTCTCAGTCAGAAAACAAACATTACCAGAAATAACCATTATCATTCATTCCAATCATAAAAGCTCTAGACATCACCAGAAATAACAACCCATTATTTTAGTCTTGAGCAAATAAACCAATTTTGTGTTCTTTCTCTCAATGATCTTTAAATTCCTCAAAGAAAATTGTAACATTTGCTTTCTTATTCTTTGTCTCTTTTCTCAAAATTCTCTCAAAATTCTTTTATAATTCCAGTGTGGCAATTCCAGACAACCCTTTTTGTAAGCCTAATGCAATAAAAGTATCCACATTGCTCTTCTGATTTGTTATCTGAATCATCCAAATTCATTTGTAAATCCATTATCCATCTCATTCTTGTGTAGACTATAATTTTTAAATCCTTCTGCAAGTCAATTTAGTTTTATTCAATGGAGCTTGTTCCTCTTCAGTAACACCTTCTGATTCTGCTATAAAGTTAAATAGCTAAAGACTTTCATCAAACATTTATTTTAAGCTAGCCATCTGGTGTCGTCTAGTGTTCAACCTTCAAAGTCATCTTATCACTTTCAAAGTGAAAACAAGAAGATTTTCTCTGGAGAAAGAATCCTTTGAATTATCTTCAAAGTCTTAAATCAAATCCATTTGAGCCCTTAATCCATTTAAAACTTTTAAAAGGCAACAATATTCTTCCTTTTGCTGTAAAAAAAAATTACTACAAATCTTTAAACTTGTGATAGTTGAACATTTTTTGAAGGACTGAAGGGGGCTTGCTAGTGATTTCAATAACATTTGCCTGTCTGAAGATTCTCAGTCTTAAAAAAACAACAACAGCTAAAGGGGGAAAAAATCCAGAATGATTCTGAGATGAGCCTTGGTTGAACATAAAGTCCATATAGAAGACATTAGCAACAATGAAATCCCACAACTCCCAGCCAATCTCAAAATGCAGCTCCTGTTGCCAACTGACAAAAAAAAAAAAGCTTGCAAAATACATAGGGGTGAACTTGCAATCTCTCCTTACTTAGTGATTTTGGCAGCCCAAACCCTGCATTCAAGCACTGTTTTTGGCTGCAGTGTGCCAGTTTGCCATGATGAACAATGCTCCATGTCACATTAGATAGGATGAGGTCTGTGGGTGCTACTTTCCATTTGTAAACTCCCACCATTTTCTTGCTGTTTCTCCTAGCAGTGGGGCTGAAAAGGAGAAGAGACTGTTCAGTGTTGTTGGACTGATAATGTGTCTGCCACCTGCAAACACCACAAATATAAGCATCAGCTATTTTGCATTAGCTGGTTCTCTTGCCAGTTGGGTTAAATTGTTGCTGATGGCCCAACATGCTCTTCACTACCTCCTAAATATGCCCCAATAGCATCTTTTGTCCCCATAATGTTGCCTTCACCTTGTCTGCAGCCCATGAGTGGGACAGGATTTAATCAGTTTTAACTGTGGCAGGATTAAAACAGTAATTTCCCCATTTTCTGTCACCATCCAAGGGCAGTCTCAAAGTGTGTAAAATTTATTAGGCTTTAATACCTAATACCATTACCTTAGACAGAAGTCAGGACTGGCAGTAATTGCAAACTAAAGTGATAGAGATGGGATAGCAATCAGCAATGGGCATCTGTCATGCCAGTATTGTTTTTTGTCAACTCAGGGATGGGGTGGATAACATTTACGGTAGGTAGCAGTTAATGAACCTTAACTAACTGCTGTAAGAGTGTCTCTGGAGTTGGGTAGTGTGCATTCATGACTTATGGATCAAAAGCTGAGTTGTACAGTTTTGTAATATTATAAGAGACACACACACACATACAATATGTATAAGAAAGTAAGTATTTCATCTTCTTCTGCTGGATAAAGAAATTTTTATCACAATTCAGGCCTCTGATCTTTATGCCTGTCTGGTTGCATGCTCCCTCCAGTAAGATGGAAATCTTGTACAATTATCCTCAACTGTAACCAAATGTGCTTTCTGCCAGCAATATGTGGTACATTTCTTTGTTAACTCCTCCTGTATTTCTATTCTCATTCTCCTCTCTGCATCTAAAGGAGGCTAGATAACTCTCACAAATAATGCTGACACTGATGCTAACCAGATAGTGGCTAGTTTTATTCGGTAATAAGCAGTCTTTTGCAGCCAAACTTGTATACTTACAGTGATCAAATCTGTATCGGAAGAGCATACAAGGGCTTGTAATTAGATTGGGATCTGTTGTGACATGAAAACCTTTTTTTCCCCAATTTTTGTTTATTTAGATCTATGCCTCAATAAATGTTGAAATAATCCACCCTGCTCTGACTAGCATGACAGGATCCAGTAGTGAATTCTAGCATACAGACTGATCAGAAAAGCAAAGGGAGGGAGGGTTCAATCTCACCTACTCCAGGGATTTTTAATTAATTAATAGCTGGAGAGCAGAACTTTTAGCAAGCCCTTCCCGTTGATACCAGTCTGCAGGAGCCAGCATGGGAGGCAATTGCATGAGGCAATTGCACTGTTCTTCAAGGCTCCTGGACTTAGAGTAACAGCATGAGGTGGCCTCTTTGAGTGGCAGCAGTGGCATTAGGGCTAAAATCAAGGCCTGGACCTCTGCACCCGACTGAGCCTCAGTGCTTGCCACTGAATGCCACTGAGTAGCCTAGATTGGGGGAGAGCTGATAAAGAATTATTTCCCTTTTGTTTGGATGTGTGTGCACAATACCACAGCAAAGTCAAATTAGGCATTTTCTGAATTTTTGACATACTGAGCCCAAAAGGTTCGCCATCACTATTCAAGAGGGAAATTCCAGATCTGGTACATTATTGTTGCAAGATATTATGTTTAAATACCGTTAAATCTATTTGGCAGTTTGATTTACTTTCTTATCCCATTTTATGCAAGCATTTCTTTTTCAGTTTCTCAGTCTATTTATTACTTATAAATGATGCGCTATAAAACACTAAGTAATCATTTCATCTTGTATAACTCAATATTTTTTTAAAGATGCTGAACCATGACTTTCTAACCTGCAGATATTCTACATCTCTCTTATCATGCTGCCCTTTGGAGTGGGCAATTCCTTATTTTCCAGTTCCTTATCCCTGGAAGAGGAGCTTTTCAATTACATTGATGAACATCAGGATGAATTTGTTCAGGTAGAAATGCGGTGATTGTGAGTTTTGCTAACTAAATGCAATCCAAGTCTGTCTGTCTTAACTTGGAGAACTTGCTGTTTTTTAGCAAAGATTATTGGCATGTCAAAGGCCACAGATTGCTAGTTTGAACTACAGTGCAAAGAATATTAATACTGATTGGGAGATCAAATTCCTGATGCAGTATATTCTCCAGTATCTGGATCAATAAATGAATTTCTACTTCAATGGTTTCATACTTTATCCAAAGGTGTTTCATTGATTGCTAGTTTATTTAACTTTTTGCTTGTTTTATAACTTGAGCTGTCAGAGTGGTATATATACACATTTATTAGATTTATATCCTAAGTTTTTTCCACTGGTAATAGGCATGCTAATCTCTTCCAGTTGCACCTTCATTATAACAATGTCATGAGGGTGAGTGTGGTGAGAGACAATGAGTATTCCAAAGTCACCCAGGTGGGGATGGACTTGGGAGTCACCCCATTCTTGTTCAAGCCCAGTACAGGTACTGGAGTAGGAAAAGGGAGACTCCAATAAGTGCTCAAAACATTAAGCAATTGTAAGAACAGTACATAATAAGACTCAGAGAAAACTAGAAGCAAAGATTAAAACAACAAACTAAATCAAAGTAAATCTAGGAGCAGTATTAAACAGAGTGGCAAACATTACAATACCTTGGAGAATCAAAAGATCATTGCCTGACCTCAAGAACATTGATCAATAGGGTCTACAAGAGTTTCTCTACACAAAGGGCACGGCAAAATTGAATGTGGCCACTTGCCTTGCCTCTTTTCACAATGTAAGTCTTCGATAGATAAATATGGGAGAAGATATTTTAAATAAATAAATATTAAATAAATAAATAAATAATTAAATATTTCAAAATAAATTCTGCATTTTAAGCAACATTGCTGGTGGGAAAACAAAATAATAGCAATAATAACAATGCCAGAACTGTCTTTGCCTGTTTTGAGGACTTGAAATTTAAGGTCTTTCAAAAACAACCCTCAATAGGTAAGATACTATTAATGATTCCAAATGAGCATAAATAGCTGTTCAAGCAAACAGTTTAGAAGCAGATTAGAAAACATGCTGTAGGCACTGAGGCAATTTGTGCCTTTATTGACCAAGTTGGGTTGAGTGGCATATCACAATTGTCAATTCAATTATTTTGATCATGGACGGACAATTTGCAGCCTGTGAGCCATTTATTGTCCCAACAACCCACTAAAGTGAATGGATCTGAAGAGGGGAGGCATTGGAGATTGTTAAGAGGTAAAATGAGTGTTTTAAGCTTTGCAAAGGACAGTTAAACCTCTTAAAAGCAAAACTATCCTCCCACATTGAAACATTTCCTAGATGCAAAACGAACAGACCTGGACTGAAAACTCTTAACTGCTCTTACTCCAAGGATCTCATACTGTCTGCCCACAGAGAGGAAGCAAACATGAAGTGTTGCCCGCTATTCAGAAAAAGACTATCATGATTATTCAGAGAAACTAACCCCTCTTGTCTGGATGGGACCTCAGTTTATTGGTTCCCAGGCAATCAGTTTCTAAGTTATGGTTCAGAACTGTATGCCTCCCCAACAATAGAAGAACCAGTCCAAAATATCAGAACATGAGCATATCTTTTGTTATTAATATTAGTTCTTCCCCAGCTCCCAGCAGACAACAAAGCATTTCAGAATTGTGAATAAAGAAACAGAACTCACTTGCTACTTTTATTTTGGCTCTCCAAAGTAAGATAATGGCACTTGTATTATTCATTGTGCTGATGGGCATTTCTGCAAAACCAAGAGAAAAGTTACCTCACAATGCAGAGTGAATGCAATTATCCACTCCAAACAAAATTTCAGGACAAGAAGATTGTGTGGGTGGACATTCTTATAATGTTGCTGTTATTCCTCTCTGATTCTTCTTCTTTTTTTAAAAGGGAGATTGCATGCTGACAAGTCCCTTAGAAGTAATTAGAAGGAAATAGAATTTACAAAGATGGATTGCCTGTGTAAAGCCTTCCAAGTGCTGTCATTTTTAATGAGCTTTTCTGGGGAAACCTAATGTATTTCTAAGAGCTGGTGCAGCAGAATGGCTGCAACAATATAATGAAAACTATGAATCAGGAAGGCACACCTTTGATATGAACCCTAGGCAAAGATACTGTCCCTCAACTCTTCTCCTTCTCAATAGGGAGACTTAATGGTCCTATAAACAGGTTCAGATAAGACAACAAAACAAGACTTATATATATTAGTTACATTCTAGATATTTAAAAAGCACAAAACATAATGATGTGCTAGAGTGCCCAGTATGTTCTAATTAAGCTGTGTGTAAGAAAATACACAAAGCAATTGACAAAATTGCATTAAGCTTACCATATTTCATAGATATTTCATAGATAATGCACAAATTATAGTGTATATATGCAGAAATTCTCATTTTAGACAATAAATAGATAATATGTTTGATTCACTAGGACAGGGATAGGCAACCTTGGCTCTTTTATGGCTCGTGGACTTCTGGGAGTTGAAGTCCACGAGCCATAAAAGAGCCAAGGTTGCCTATCCCTGCACTAGGAGAACTAGAATTATTCAGAAGGTACTGTATATAGCTAGGCAAATGTGACATGGTTGTAGGAAGAAGCAGGTTCCGCAAGAATCTATATATAAATAAAATGGAAGCATAATCCACATTTTAACCATAGTTCAGATATTTTCCTCTCTTAATCTGATTTGCATAAGGAACATATGGATAACAGTTTAACACTTCTGTGATAATATGAGTTTTATCTCTGGCTTTCCTTTCAGAAACTTAAGGAATGGGTGGCTGTAGAGAGTGATTCCCAACAGCCACGTCTAAGAGCAAAAGTCATAGAAATGGTCAAAATAACTGCAGCCAGTCTTGAAGACTTAGGAGCTATCGTGACACTCAATGATATGGGCATTCAACAGGTACTGGTCCTTGCTTCCATCAAAAGTGTAATGCGCACAAATAGAAGGAATGTCTGCTCGTGCAATGGGGTCAATGTAGAGTTATCAGATCTGGGTTACAAAAAAATCTAAACAAATTGCAAGATAGCAGCAAAAAAATCTGGTAGGAGAAAGACAGTACCCCAGATTAGGGAGCCCTAAATAAGAGACAGAGATAGAAAGATGCGGGATGATGTAAGGCAAAGTTATTTGAGTCCACATCCATGGTTATTATTATGATTATTAGTCTTACATTTTTTTTTACATTTTACATGTATATTTTACCTGATTACAATTTTGGATGGTATAATTGTTACGCTAAGAGGCTAGGTTTCTAATTAATTAAAGGGCACCAAAAAGATAATAGTTTCTTGGAAGTTATTTGTTGCTTTCCTTCCAAATTCTCTCTAATAAAAGAGTAAATATAATTTTGAATATTTCCCCTTCTTCCTCTACTCCAGGGGTGTCAAACTGCCGGCTTGCAGGCTGGATGCATCATAGCAAAACCGCACACACACACACCCCATTGCCGGCAATGGAAAAAAAGTCGCAATGTGTCGCGACACCTCACGTGACATTGCACGTTTGACACCCCTACTCTACTCCAATTACAAGCCATGTTAGTAGTTTAGATTTAGTGTTATACTAGACAACTTGTGACCATTGGGTCATTGTTTCAGAGATATTTCCTTACTTAAGCTGAAAAACAGAATGACCATGGGATGGGAGGAAACAGTGAGAGTGATTTCCAACTTCCGGCTGCTTCCTAATTGACTGTCCTTGTAGGAATCTGGCAGGAAGCATTGGAAATGACAATCATGTGACCACAGCAGTGCAGTAGCACTGAAGGGGACACAACTTTGCCAGATTTTATTCCCATGGGAATCACGGGTCCTGGACTTTGGATGCATTCTGTAAGTTAGCCCATTTGTGGTTGATTTAAAAACTATTGCCCTAAAAAACTATTTTACTAACTTATAAACAATCAAATAGGCACAAGAGTTTTAGTGGTACATAGATTAAAATATTTCTTCATGGAGGACAGATTCATGTGTTCAGATTCATGTATCAGACTATATCATATAATTGATGAAAATAATCTTATTTTACTCTGTTGATTAATTGTTTGAAGGTTTGTTGACCTTGTTGGTTTTAATTAAATGCTCTGTGATTTTGATAAGAAAAAATCATTAAGTGGATTGGGTTGAATTAAGTGGCTTTCTCTACCCCTCCCCTGAGTTATTATTTTAATCATCCAGCATTTGTTAACACCTTAATGATCTTATGGTATATCTTAATATATTATTTGTCATTTTGGGGGGAAAAAACAAGAGAATTTTAGAATAATGTTTTTTTTGTCTCTGCCTGTCTTCAAGATCAGATAGCAGGTATTTGGGATCTAATTAGAATCCAGTGTAAGGTATATGTGTAGACTGCTCCATAAAGAAAAAAGAGGTTCCAGGTTCAATGTCCAGATAATGTGGGCAAAGGTCCTTTGAAACTCAGAACTATTATCAAACAGTATTGATAGTACAATACAGTAGCCTGAATCAATAAAATCCCCCCAACTTCAAAACAGTAGCAGGCAATAGTCATGTGGAGGTGCCATTGTGATAACAGGTAGTTCATAGTTACTGAACACAGTGATGCTCTCAAGACAAGGAGATGGGCCATGTAAGGGCCCAGGTGAGCAAGACTTAGGGCAGTGTGCCTGGCTGAGGAATTCTGGAAATTGAAGTCCACAAGTCATAAAAGGGCCAAGTTTGAAGATCCCTGACTTAGGGGATTTGCAATACAAAGACTTCATAAGAACATTGTCTAAAATTGACATGGTGAACTGAGATATTTGTTGCAGATTTTTATTTCACAAAAACTAAATTTATGAAATAGCTAGGTGAGAGATAGATAGATGGATGGATGGATGGATAGGTAGGTAGGTAGGTAGGTAGGTAGGTAGGTAGGTAGATAGATAGATAGATAGATAGATAGATAGATAGATAGATAGATAGATAGATAGATAGATAGATAGATAGATAGATAGATAGATAGATAGATAGATAGATAGATCGATCGATCGATCCTTGGTAAATATATAAAAAATCTTCAGCTAGAACTAAATCAACATCTAACAAAATAACATTCTTTCAAGTATATGTCACCAGGAAGGAAATTGTTGTTTATTACTTTCTTAAGAAACTCACTGAATTATCATTAACTGTGTTTTAATATATTTCTACAGCTGTCTGATGGTCAGAATATTCCATTACCTCCAGTCATTCTGGCAAAATTTGGAGATGATCCACAGAAGCCAACTGTGTGTTTTTATGGACATGTGGATGTGATGCCAGCTAAAAGTCAAGATGGATGGAAAACCCATCCTTTCAGTTTAACAGAAATTGATGGTATGTGTGTATTGTCCAATTGGTAAAGGAAAAAAAGGGCTATTAAAAAGTTGACATTTTTATAGTTTTATATGATAAAAATAGCAAGGATGATAGGTACTATACAGTATATATAGAAAGATATGGTCATATCAATATCAATCTTATTTAAATTAACAGAAAAGAATTTAGACTTTTTAATTGCAAAATCAATATTGCCATTTTCAAATTATATTTTCTATATAATCTCAGTCTCAACAGAAAGGAGCAATAGAAGAGTTGTCATCCCATAGTTAAATAGAAATTGAGATTTTTAAATTAGCTTTAACTTTATAAAATAATAATCACTTTCACAATTTACTCCCAAAATGTCAAGATACATGCTTCAAATATTATAAACCTTTGGAATGCTCGTTAAGCAGGGGAGCAGGACATATTGGCAACTAACATATGAAAACTATACAATGTCACACATATTGTTTTGCTTTCTGAAAATAATTACCTACAATAACATTGATCACTTATCAACATATAGAAACAAATACAGCCATAGAAAGACATTGAATAAAGAACCAAGTCACTGGAGTGTCTATAGATAAACAAGACCTACGGCAACCATTCATAGCCATTCTTTTCAGGAAAATATATTTAAGTTTGTTAAATGGAGGAAGAAGAATATTCTGTTTAAAAGAGGAATCTGATGACTTCTTATAAGAGGACTTAACCTACACTTCCCAATATATTAGGATTGTTGGAGGCTGTACCATTCTCTCTATAGATATTAACTTTTCCTAACAGAGGAATCTGACCTGAACAATGATTAGTGAACCAGATATTAAGACCTTAACATATTGTAGATCAGGGGTGTCAAACTGCCAGCCTGCGGGCTGGACACGTCATGCGGAAGCCATGCCCACCCCATTGCTGGCAATGGCAAAACAGTCCCGATACGTCATGCGATGTCACGTGACATCGCGAGTTTGACATGTCTGCTGTAGATTTATTTATAGGAAATACTTAGTGGGGAATAGGCAAGACTTCCCCTTCTATGATCAGAGCCCCGTCTATAATCAAAGTCCTGATGAGGCAAAGGGCTTGTATGGGTAAATAAAATTGTCCAGAAGCGTCACCCAAGACAAACAGAGCATAATGCATATTCCAGACTAACATCAATCACATCTGCCAACCCATATTGGACGAGCATGGCAGATTATGGTCTATTCCTTCAACATGTCAATACTTCAAAAAACGGCCCTCATTCCCTGAAGGCCCTAGGGCAACTACCCACGGCAGTGGGAAGACCTGCCTGAAGGCAGAGGGTGCTAAGAATCGCCGGGTTAGATCAGACTGTGTTGATTGGAAACATGCAGAAGAAGCCTTCATCCTGCAGTGGATAGAAATGGCTAGAATGATGAAGATGAGGCAAGACTTAGCATCTAGCTATTACATCCAACCAGGAGGAGAATCCAAAAGCATGTGTTCCATGACTGGGTGCCTGGGAAGAAAGGCAGAAAAAAATATTTCAGAATAGCAATCATTAGTCAAGGATAGTTAGAATGGCTAATCAAGGAAGGGACATTGAGTAAATCTTTAGCTTCCTATCTGTACTCAACTGCCTCTTTCTAGTCAAGAGGTCATGAAATACTGAAAAATCAGTACCTTTGGATTCACAACACTAGATCCCTTCTTATTGGCTTATGCACCAATCCACAACTCCCATTCCCTTTCAAAGCGTTTTGTGTCGACTTCAGGATAAAGGCTTAGGAAGTATATCTGGCAGTATTTTTTTTGTGTGGACAGTATTTCAGTCTCATGAAATGAGTCCTGTGGGACATCTCTGATTCTATACTTTGTAGTTTTCTCTTTATAGAAGAATTGAATGCTTCCTTGATTGTTCTCAAAGAACTCAGTAGGTTTTGGCTCACCTATCCTTAAATCATTAACAGTTTATGTAGCCACATAACCTCCTGGCATGCTTGTGCTGCAGATATCTATTTACCTTGGTGGAAGATTGGGCAAAATATTCTTGTTTGCTTGCCCAACTGATCATTCCACACTTATATAGGAGGATCTGTCTGCTTGTAAACTTAAAAATCTTCATCTTTTCTGTTCAATATGCATCGATATAGCCTATCATAATTAATTAATATATATTATATCAATTTGGTCTTGCTATTGGCTAGAAGTCTGAGATCTAAGTATGCATAGCCTTTTAGGTAATTGCCCACCCTGTTGACTCAGATGTAATCTCCTTTGCTTAATATATTCACATTTCTGTACAAAATCTCAACTGTTACAGTAGTGTCCATTTTTTTTCCATTATTTATACTTACAAGTAGTCATTGGGTTGCAATAGCTATTTCAATTGGGAACCCTGTTGCTAAGTAATGTGGTCATGAAGCATGATGTCATGTCTCTTAGCAGTGGAAATTCCAACAGTCCCAGTTGCTGTAATTAAATGAGGACTGTACAGGTTGTTAAGTGAGGACCTTATGTGAGCATGACTTCCAATTTTCTGTCAGCTTCCCCATTGATTTTACTTATGTAAAAAGCTAGCAGGGTACATCGGAAATTGCCCAGATTGCAATCATGTGACTACAGGGATGGCCAGAATTTTGTGGACCCATTGTAAGTCCTTCATTACTGTCATACTTTGAACAGTCGTTGAATAAGTAGTCATAACCTGAGGACTACCTGAACATGACCTTTCCAATTGCAATCTTTTATTTACAGTCTTCTTCAGGGGCTCATTATTTGCAATCTGTTTGGCAACAGATTATTAAATTATTTACAGAGCTAAATATGTCTGCCAGTCAGACCTGAATCTGAAATAAAGACAAGAATATAAGCTTTATCATGCATGAAGGCTTGCTTGACAAACATCTGGTTGAGCTTCTCCAGCTGCTTACTTCTGGCCCTAGATTCTCTTCTGAAGTTTGCACACTAAATCATTCTGTCTTAGTCCTTCAAATCTGGGTGTCTGTTGCATGTATGTCCTCAAAGATCTCTCTCATGGAGAAATGCAGCCTATATCAAATGAGATCTTGTAACTTTGACCGAAAGGAGATCTGTTTATAGGAAATATATTTTAGGAATAGGCAAGGCCGAGCACTTAGCTAACTCCCTCCTGCCTGAAACAAGGTTCAAGAGAATGTGCTTGATATATGTATGCCGGGGGGGGGGGGGGG